AAAATTTTTTGACTTTTGATTAGAAGTATGTAATGCATGTACTTAAAACAGGAATTTTGCCTATATACCTGTTATTGGAGTTTGAAGGAAGCCTTTGTTAATAGCTTAATGTAATTTTCCTAGGTACTACAGCACAACCTTGTCTTTGGAATGCTGTAGCTTTCTTTTTAGAGAGCATTGCCATGCATGATATTATGGCAGCAGAGAAATGCTTTGGCACTGGGGTAACAGGAAATGCACCCAGCCCAGAAGAAGAAGAAAGATATAATTATAGCAAGTGCACAATTGTGGTGCGGATAATGGAATTTGCCACAACGTTGCTAAGTGCCTCTCCAGAAAACTGGCAGGTAGGCCACTCCTATTCTTTTAACTTGAGACCTATCCTAGATTCTGGAAAAATGCTTGTACTCTACCTGTTAGAAGTAGTTTTGATTTTCTTAGAACTTTATATTGCTAAAGGAATTACCTAATCTTGAAAATTATAAAACTTCAGAAAACAAGTAGCTAACAAAATATTTTTTCTAAATGTTTTATTGGCTACTTTGTTGTATAATATAATCAAACATCTGCCTTAAGAAAGATGCATTAGAAAATATTTATAAATGTATTATTACAGAAAACAAGTTCCAGTCAGTTCATCCACTTCATATAGAGTAAATACCCATTGTATGCTAGGCCTATACTAGGGACACAGGATTGTCTAGCTAATAGCTGGCTGGTAAATTGATTCTGGGATGAGACTCCATCTGTTGCCTGCTTTTTAAAGAAGGTTATATTGGAACATGTTTAATTCCATTAGTTCATATATTATTATGGGTACTTGCACATTATAATGGCAGTTACATAATTGCAACAGAGACCGTATGGCACTTGGGTAACAAGTAATGCACCCAAGAGAAAGCCGAAAATATTTACTATCCAGCACTTCACAGAGAAGGATGCCAACCCTTGCCTAGGCAAGCAAACATTCCCAACCTCACAGACTTGATACTCAAGGAAACATCAAAATGATAACTAACAGATGTGTTTTTATTCAAATCCTCTCTTACAGCTCCTTGAGAAGAATTTGTATAACACCAACCTTATGACACTGTTGGTGAAAACTGTGTGTGAGCCCTCAAGCATAGGTTTCAACATTGGTGATGTCTGTGTTATGGATCATCTTCCCAATGTTTGTGTGAACCTGATGAAAGCACTAAAGAAGTCTCTATACAAAGACTTCCTGGAGATGCACCTGAAGGAAAGAATAACAGCACAGAGGTGGGCACTGGAATCATGTTCAGGATCAGTTTATAGTGGAATTCAAGTTCACAGCTTGTCTCATATTCTGGCTGTTGCCCATGTGACTGCTGCAGCCCCTCATCCTAAAATAAGAGGGTGCTTCATGTAGAACATCTTATCATTTGTTTGAAAATCATCTCTTTATCAAATGGCTTCCTTGCACCATAATAAAATCCTGCCTCAGGAGTAGCTTAGTGTCTTGTTGGTTTCCATGACTGGATCAGCATGTGTTGCTTTCCAGGGTGAACACATTTTTCTCAACTGTGTCTCGATAATTTAACACCAACACTCACCTGCTTTTCTTTTTGTTTTCCTCACATGGCCAGAATTGAGGAACTTTGTGCTATTCACCTATATGACTCTGATGCTCAGGTCAATAGTGCCAAGCTTGCTTCCATTGTATCAGCTTGTAAACAACTTCACAGAGCTGGATTTTTGCATGTGATATTACCATCTCAGGTAATCACAGCTAATTTGTTTTTATGGTGCTATTAACTTTATTAAGTTAATTATTTGTCTTTTTAATTAAATATCCTTTATATAGAAGGTCATATTGTAATATTGTAATAACATATTACAAGAATATTGTTATAGACACATAGGTCTTACCTAGAATGTAATTATGAAGGTAAATATAAACATTTATAAGTATAAAATGAGTATGTCCTATCCCTTCTGAAGAACTTAACGGACTCTCTGTCATGCCTGTATGGCTATGCAACATGAATAAAAAGTACAGCATAGAAAGCAAAGTTGTGTAGTGAATAGTTCCCTGACAATTAGGAGACAATTTCTGTGTTAGCCAACATGGATTGGATTTAAACATTTTTTTGGCATACAAGAACTGGGGTGTAGGCCAGAGGTGTGGGGGGTGATAAGATTCACCAGAGATAGAGTGGGGAGCAGAACAGGTAGATCTATTGAAATACACTGCTAAGGTAAGCAGTGGGCAAGACAGGAGAGGCCTGTTGAACCACATGTGGATTAACTCCCTGGGCAGGGATAGAACTCAGGCAGTATTGGTGATAGTGCTGAGACATAACCCTTATCATGGATTATTATTATTTTTTTAAAGATTTATTTATTTGTGCATACAGAACTGGGGTACAGGCCAGAGGCTCAGGGGCGGCGAGAGGCTTCACCAGAGACAGAGTGGGGAGCAGAACAGGCAGATCGACGAAGTACACTGTAGAGGGGAGCAGCGGGCGGGTCAGGAGATGTCTGCCACACCATGTGGTCACCTCCGGGGCAAATGGGAATCGAACTCATGCGGAAGTGGCTTTTTAGCTTCTCAGTGCTGTGCTTTAACCTGCTGCGCCACCAGGGAGGGCCCCTCATGTATTATTTTTAATCAAGAAAGGTATAAATTTTTGTATAAAATATCTTATTGCTGGATATTAGAGTGTTGATTTTATTTTAGTCTACAGATCAGCATCATCCTATTGGCACAAAACTTCTTTCCCTGGTTTATAAGAGCATTGCACCTGGAGATGGACAGTGCTTTCCTTTGCTAGACCCCGGTTGTAAACAACTGGCCAGTGGACTTCTGGAACTGGCCTTTGCTTTTGGAGGACTGGTATGAAAAACAGCGACATGCTATTCTATCTTAATTTTGTAAATAAGTTATTCATTTGCAGTATGTGTAAAAAATGGGAATTTAGTTGAGTATGTAGAACAACATTCTCCTGAAATTGAGATATTTTTTATTCCACTTTGTTTCCAAAAGGATATCCAAAGAGAACTTGAAAAACTTTGGGAATATAAAGCTGGACTATGTTGACATAGTGGCCTGTTCATTTTTTTTTTTTAAGATTTATTTATTTATGCTTCAGAACTGGGTACAGGCCAGAGGTGTGGTGGGTGAGAGGATTCACCAGAGACAGAGTGGGGAGCAGAACAGGAAAATTGACTAAGTACACTGCTGAGGGGAGCAGCGGGCGGGACAGGAGAGGTCTGCCATGACATGTGGGTCAGCACCCTAGCCAGGGATTGAACTTGTGCTGCAGTGACTTCGGAGAGCTTCATAATACTGTGTTTTAATCTGTTGCACCACCAGGGAGAGCCCCACAGTGGCCTATTCTTAAGTGATTCTTTGGGTGGCCAATTTTGGGAAAGCCTGTGGAGAGTCAGTCTACAAACATCACCAAAATAAAATATCTTTTTGGCTTTCTGGATTGTGCAGGATTTTGTGTAGCTGAGATCTGCCAATCTATCCTGTGTATTCCATCTACCTCCCCTTTTCTAGTAGCATAAACTTATTCGTTGTCCCTTTATGTACTAATATAAACAAATCACAAATTTTAAGTGTTTAAAAATATTCTCTTAAAGCAACATTATTTTCTAAAAAATTGGAAGGAATATGCATTAGAAGATTTATTTCCTCAAGAAATAGAAGTTTAAATTGAAATGCATACAATTTAAACTCCAATCTGACCTTTGAACATTATACTTATTTTCATCCATACCTTATGATGTTTCACTTTCAGAGTTAATAGCTGCCCAAGCAACTGTTGTATAATCCTGTAATGCATACTCCCTAATCATACTTTACTTCTCTGTGCAGTGTGAACGCCTTGTGAATCTTCTCCTGGATACAGCAGTGTTGTCCATGCCTTCCTTGCGAGGGTCCCAGAGAAACAATGTTTGCTTCTCACAAGGAGAGTACTTTTATAGTTTATTCTCAGAAACAATTAATGATGAATTATTGAAAAATCTAGATCTTGCCATATTGGAACTCATGAAATCATCCATGGAGAATCCCAAAATGGTAATGGAAAATTTATTCTAAGTAAATATTTTCTTACATAATACTTATAGAAAAATTATCATGTTCTTGAAATATATCATCAAAACTATACTGTGTCTTCCTGGCAAGCTTAAACCTCTTACCAGTATATAAAAACAAAATCAGAGAAAACCAAACACAACTTTTGTGAATGTTAATGGATGCTGAAGCATTGATTATTTTTCTTAATCCCTTACTCCCCCCAAATCTCTTTGTTTAATAATAATGCATAAGTGTATAGAATGACTTTTGCCAAGTCTTGGTGCATATAGACCAATCTGTCCTTGCTTTTCCACCAGACATGAGTTGGTCCTATATATCCCTGTAGTCCTAACTATGCTTACGGTTCGTTCATGGTCTCCACACTGAGATTCATCTTTTTCTGCATGTTTCTGCTCTAACCCATTTTGTTTCCCTCATATTGAACTTTTGGATATCAGTTTTTAATGTATAGTTTGCTTTGGTTTGTTAACTTCTGTAATTTTCAAATTTAACCTGTTCTTTGATAGTCAGAAGCTTTCAACTGTTAGACCAGCCATTTTCAGGAAATGTAATTTCCTATGGTGTTAAGCTTTTCATTCTAAATAGTGCTATTGTTTATGCAGGGGGGATATTTTGCAGTGGATTGCACTACAAATTATATAGTTTAAACTTAGAGTTAAAGTTAGAGTGGACCCAAAGCATTCAGGAAATATAATAACGTTTTGAGCTTTTCAGTCATTCAGACATTTGGATTGATTAAAAAAAAAGCTATACATATTTAGCTCCATTTCCTCTTCAGAATTGTGATAAAAAAAACAAAACAATACAGTCTTGAAAGATACAGAAAAGAAGAAAAGGGAAAGAGTATCAATATATTGAAAACTGGAAAGCAAAATGACAAATGATAGGCTTCAGAGTTCACAAAAATCACAATGTGACATAGCAATGGGAGAAGAAGGGCTTAATTTGTGCTGCAGAACTCTGAAAGGGTTCTTCAAGAATTGAGTCCTAGACTTTTGGAGTTTAGTGAGCAGGGTATGTAGGAGAGACCGTAGAGGACTGGTCTGGTTAAAAGTTAACCATCTTTTACCAGGTCCGTCAGCCTTGCCCTGTACTCAGGGAAACTGCTCATTCTTACTTCAGGAGACTGGAGGCAGTAGATCTCAATGAAAAATAAGTATCTGTTCTAGGCATAGTTCTTCTTTCTTTTAATAAGACCTTTAGTGAAGTTTACAGTCACTTTTAGTATATAACACAATTGTTTCTGTACATTATAGTAAAGTTTGAAATACTTTACACCATAACTAAACCATTTTATCATCCATTTATGAAATTTGCTCTGTCTTTTTATCTCAATGATCAGTGTTAGTGCTCCATTTTTTCTGATCCTGTTCTCCCTTTAATTTTCTTGAACAACCAATGTTTCTGGCCTAAGCTACATTTTTGTAATTTTCTCATTTTTCTATTAGGTGTACATTCTTACTATAATAGGAGATAGATCTGTCTATCATGTATATATAAAATACTTTTCCTGTGGGCTGTTTGTTCTTACTTAGACTATTTATTTTATACAGAAGTATTTTTTATTTTCTACTAAAGTTATCACTTTATGGCTTTTGTGTCATATTTAGACAAAAACATTGTCTTTAAAATTTCCCTGCATTTACTTCTATTATTTGTAATGTTTTGTTTGATTTTTTCTTAGAAAAACAAATACAGATAATGTAAAGAGCAGTATAAAAATGAATTTTTTCACCAAATGGTTACATTTCAGACACTTACACTAATGTGTATTTCCTCACTGATTCCAGAATATAACTTTTTCAAATGCTAAATCATTAAATTGGACATTTTAATATTTTCTTTCTTTAACCATCTATTTCACAGGCAGTATCATACTGTTTTAATGATAACAGTTTTTTTTTATACTTTTTGACATCCTAATAAGGCAGTGTTCCAAAGTTTTTCAGAATTATTACAGCTTGCAAGTTTAACCTTTAAAGTGAACTTAGTCACTTTTTCAGTTTTCTCACCATCCTTCCTATAACAAAGAGGTTTGTCTGTCAATACAGAGTATATAAGGTACCCTTAAACTGAATTTAACCTCTTAAATTTAAGCTTGATTTTTCTTTTCTTTCTTTTTTTTTTTTAAGATTTATTTATTTATTCATACAGAACTGGAGTACAGGCTAGGGATGCAGAGGGTGAGAGGATTCACCAGAGACAGAGTAGGGAGCAGAACAGGCAGATCAACGAAGTACACTGCTGAGGAGAGCAGCGGGCAGGTCAGGAGAGGTCTTCCTCGTCATGTGGCTCTCCTCTGGGGCAGGCGGGATCGAACTCATATGGAAGTGGCTTAAGCTTCTTAGTGCAGTGCTTTAACCCACTGCGCCAGGGAGGGCCATTTTCTTTTCTTTTTTTTAAATTGAATACCAGTGGTTTTAGAAGTATAGGATCTCTTCCTTCAGGGGTAGTCACTGTAGCACACCTTTCGCCAAAGCACCCCATAGTCTTCAACCAGAGTCATTGTGCTCTCTCTCTACCTAGCTTGCACCATTTCTCTTCACCTTCTCCTCTGGATGCCTCAGATCTATGGTCAGCATTCAAGAGTTCATTTTAGTATTTTTGTTTGTTTGTTTCATTTCCCTATATTACACATATTAAGTGATACTGTATGGTATTTATCTTTTTCCATCTGGCTTGCTTCATTTAGCATAATCTCATCCAACTTCATTCATGTTGCGTCAAATGGCATGAGTTTATCTTTTTGTTACTGAGTAGTATTACATTGTGTGTATATATATATACAGCACATCTTCTTGATCCACTTATCTGTTTTGGGGCACTTTGTTGTTTCCAAATCTTGACTATTGTAAATAGTGGTGTAATAAATGTAGGGATACAGGTTTCCTTTTTAATTAATGTTTTTGTGTTCTTTGGGTTAATGCCTTGGAGTGAAATTGCTGAATTATATGGCACATCCATATATGTCTTTTGAGATGCCTCCACACTGCCTTGCATAGAGAGTTCCTTTTTCTACATGCCCTTAGCAGTACTTGTTTCTGATCATTTTAGTGTGGACCATTCTTACAGGTGTAGGTGGTATTTTATTGTGGTTTTGATCATTTCTCTGATAAATGATGATGATCATTTTTTTCATGTGCGTGTGGATCTGTATGTCTTCCATGGAAGAGCCTATTCAGTGCTTTGCCCATTTTTTTGACTGGGTTATTTGTTTTCTTTGTATTGAGTTGTTTGAACCCTTTGCAGTGTCCTTAGATGCCTCTTAAGCCCATGAGGTCTAGGTTCGTACTTAGGGCTTGCGTGTCCTTGTTTATTTTTTGTGTTGTTAATCTGTCCATTGGTGAGAGTGGGGTGCTGGTCTCCTACTGCATATGTATTTTCTCTGATACCTGTTTTGAGAAATGGTAATAATTATCTGATACATTTTGATGCTCCTTCAGTTGGTGAGCATATGTGATGAGTGTTAAAGCTTCCTGATATATTGTCCCATTAATCATAATGTAGTAACTATTTATGTCTCTTTATACTTTTTTAAAATTTAAACTCCATTTCATCTTATAAATAAGTGTAGCTGTTCCTCTTTCTTTCTTTTTTGAGTCCATTTGATTAAAGGATTGTTTTCCAACCTTTTACTTTCAGTCTATTTATCTTTTGCAGTTAAATGTGTTTCTTGGAGACAGCAGAAGGTTTTGTTTTTTATGATCCAGCCTGATGAGGTTAGTCCATTTACACTTAGGGTTAAGTGCCTATATTTACCACTTTGTGTTTTTGTGATTCTATTCCTTACCTTATTCTCCTCTTCCTTCCTCTTTGGTTTTAGATTTAAGGGTTCTTGTAATATTTTTTGGAGTGGAGGTTTAGTAGTAATGAATTTCTGTTTGTCTGAAAAGATCCTTAGTTTTCCTTCAAAAAAGAAGGAGAGCCCTGTGGGTAAACTTTTCTTGGTTAGCATTTGTTGACATGGAGTTTGTTAAATATGTCACTTCATTCCCTCCATAGTATTTCTTTGAAGAAGTTTCATGTCAGCCTGATTGGTTTTCTGTTTATCTGTTTAGAGGTTATCTGTTTCTTCCCCTCATCAGCTTCATTATTTTTTCCTTGTCTTATATTTCCTTTTCTCATGGTATCAGATAATTCTCAGTGTTTCTGGATATTTTTCTCTTTATTATTATTATTCTCTTCTCTTTATTTTTTTGGTTCTTTGTACATTTGTATCTTTGAGATTGCTGATTCGTTCTTCCATTTCCTCAATCCTGTTTAGTTGCTTTTCCCAGAGTTCTTTAGCTCCTCCATTAATCTTTTAATTTCTGCATTTCCTTCATTAAAAATCTATTTCATTAATTATATTTCTCATCTTTAAGTTTTTTTTATTTTTTTATTACAAAAGTTTATTTTTACATCATTTTGTACATTTTTTTTCCATCTCAATTGTAATCCCCGCGGGTTTCCCATCACCAAGTCACCCATGTGCTATCACCATAATCCCGTGCATTTCCCTCTCCCCCACCCCGTTTTTGATCCCATTCCCCACTCCACCCCCACAAAATGTCTCTGGTATATGGTTGTTCATTATTTTTGTTATTTTCCACCTGGTCCATTATACTCCTGCTATGATTGAAACCATCCGGTATTTTTCTTTTTCTTTCTCGCTTATCTCACTAAGCATGATCTTTTCCAGTTCCATCCAAGTTGCTGCAAAAGACATGTGTTTCTCTTTTTTGGTTGCAGAGTAATATTCCATTGTATATATGTACCACATCTTTTTTATCCAGTCATCTACTTTTGGGCATTTGGGCTGCTTCTATGTTTTTCCAATTGTAAATAACGCAGCAATAAACATGGGGGTACAGGTATCTTTTTGAATCAGTATTTTTGTGTCTTTTGGGTAGATACCTAGGAGTGGGATTGCTGGGTCGTAAGGAAGCTCCATGTTTAGCAGTTTGAGGAACCTCCAAACAGTTTTCCATAGTGCATCT